ACCTTGGGCGCAGTCTTGAATGAGCATCCCAAGAGGCAGATACAAGCCAAGTGCCAAGGTACAACGGTGTGCACACTCTGCCCCAAGGAGCTTGCTGTCTGTTGGGGGCAAAGAAATAGGCACTTGGAATTTAGTGTGCTGAGCGCGGTGGTGGGGTTTCGGAGGGATTCTGGGCTCATCATGCAGTTCCTGGCTCAGCCTTGGGGTGAGGGGAAACTTCCCAAAGGAAGCAGTGTCTGGGACCTGAAGGATGAGTAGGATTTGGCCAGAAGAAAAGGCGGGAAGGTACCGCCTGGTCAAAGACCTAGAAGCAAGCAGGAAGTGAATGATGGCTTAAGCATGGAGTGTTGAGAGAGGTGGCAGGAGCCAAAGTCTGCAGGGACTTGTGGGCAGGATAGGGAGTTTAGACTTTGTGCTAAGATAGCATCTTTGGTGCTCAGGGAACTGGCTGGCCTAGAGATTCAGGGTTTTCTTGGATGCCATATTTAGGTCTATTTTGCCTTGGGGTGGAGATGCAGGAGCTCTGACTCCCCGTCTTCCTAATGCTGAGTTTGTGGGGCTGAGGTGGCCCAGGTAAGAGCAGAAGTTTGGAGCATTAGCCTTCAAGGGTCAGGGGCTCCTTCAGTCGACTCCCATCCCCAAGTCAGAACTGATCCCCTGCGGCCACTGGGACCAAGCTGAGCACCTCCTTCCTGGCCTGTGTAACCTTGAATCACAATAGTCTTGTCGTTCAGATGGCCACGCTAAATGCCCCAAGCTTGGGAGTGGTCCTGGTCCCCTCAAGTGGTCTTGCCCTAGCCCCATTGCCCAGTGGTGAGGGCTCACTGGACTCTCCCAGCCAATGGTGGGCGTGTGGCTGGGCTGCTGATGGCAGATGGGAGCAATATGTCTTCGAGTTGCCATCCTTGGAGGGCACCGTGTCACCACCAGCACAGAACACCCTAAAGCCTTTCTAGCACCTTCCCTCATGTATCTGCAAAACACATATGTGGGTTCAGCACTGTTTTCTTTTCTTAGTGCATGTGACTTCCCTCTGTAGAGAGAAAGTGCTTCTCACTCTCCATCCTCCTGAAAGGGACCCATCCTCATGGGTCCCTGGCCACTGAGATCGGACCCTTGCCTTGTCCTCTGCCCAGGGGTATCTATGGTCTGGTCAGGGCTTGGTTGTAGCACTGAGGCACCTGGAGGAAGGGAAGAGGGAATAGAGCCGTGACAGACAGTCGAACAGACTGATAGAGTGGGTTGCAGTGTCTGGGGCCCCGTGGTGACTGTGGGTTTCCTTTTCAGTGTTCCTGCGTGTGTCGTCAGAGGCCCTGCAGCTGGGTCCCAGGGGTGAGCTGCCTGCAGGAGTTCCTCATTGTACCCTCTTCCCTGCAACCTCGGGGAGTTGGCCCATAGGTCGGCAGCCTTCGGAAAAGATGGCTTCCTTCCTCTTCCTCACCGTGAGGAAGGCCCGGCTGACTTCCACCTCAGGGACAGAGGAGTGAGGTTGGGGCAGACGAAATGGGAGGAAGTGGCTCAGTCCTGGCCACAGTTGCAGGCTGTGAGGTACAAGTGGGGTATGAGAGCTGGAAGTCCCACCTGCAGCAACCAGAACTGAGGTGGGGGTGGGCTTGCAGGGACTGGAGAGTCTGGGCCTGGAGGGTGGGGCCAAAGCGGCCATTGTGGTCTCAGGCCTCTCTGCTGGTGGACCTCAAACAACTGCTGGCCCCCCTGTAGGGAGACCCCTTCCCTTCCTGTAGGACCGGGGGTCTCAGCTGTACCGGGGGAGAATAGGAGAGGTTTACCTGCCAACTGTCCAGACAGGGGTAAGGGACTCCTCAGCGCCAGAAGGTAGGGATATGTGTCCAGCAAATCCTTGCTCTGAGATGGTAGGAGCGTGCTGTGGAAGGGAAAGTGTGCAGAGAGGGACACCTGGTGTCTTAGTGGTGTGTCTTAGGGATAAAGAATAAGGGCTTGGTCTTACAGTCAGTCAGACTACGTTCAAGTCCTGTCTCTGCAATATAATTACTGTGTGACCATTAGGAAGTGACCTCGCCTCTCTGAGCCTCATGTAGCTCACCTGTAAAATGGAGGTTAAAATAACAATGCCTCATGCTGCCTTATAAGGCTGTTGTGGGAATTAAATGTACGCAGAGCACTTAGGACCTGCGTGGCATAGGTCCATTATTATTATTGTTATTACTACTACTACTACAACTTTGTGCCCTGCTGCCTTTGTGTGTCCCGTCCCCTCGCTCCCCCAGGGTTCCCCACTCTTCCACTCTTTTCCCCATCCCCCCAGATAATGACCTTTCTTCTCTGAGAGTCCCAAGTCTGGGTGTCTGTGCTCTTAGCACTCTTAGCCTTCCAGTAGGGGTGACAGGGCGGCCTCTGCAGAAGCTTCTGGAGCAGTTCAGCCTCCCCAGAATCGGCCCCCTTGATTTCTTCTAAGCAAATCCCTGGCCCAGCTTTGGAAATCTACTGTGGTGTCCTGAGCATAGCCCTCCTTGATGTGCAGGGTTGAGGGTGGGGGGTGGGGGGTGGGAGGCAGACTAGCTGAGCCTAGCCCTTCCCGACCTGACCAAACTGCTGCAGGTGAGCCAGCTGGGGACTGGGGACCAGGGACAGGAGCGGCCCTGCCCTGGAGCCCTATTCACAGGCTCCACCCATCTCTCCTGACCCTGTGTACAGCGCCGGCCCTCCTCTAGGCGCTGATGGCCATCCATGGGCCCGCCCGGGTACCCTCCTTCAGGAGCACACCAGTGTGTGCGCCCAGGCCTTTGCCACGTGGGCCTTCCCTTCCCCCAGGCTCCAAGCCTGTGTTGCGGTTCACCAGTCCACAGGGCTGCGATGGGGGCGGAGGCGGGACGGGGGAGTCGGGGGGGGGGGGGGGGGGGGTCTGTGTAGGGTCGGAGGAGGGGAGGCTCAAGTGCACGTGAGCGCCTGAGGGGCTCCCAGCCCCCTGGAGGCACGTGGACCTGCCTGCTCCCCCTCGGCCCCCTCCTCTCCCCTCCCCTCGCGCATGTTCTTCCTTCCTCTGTCTTGCTTCTGCAGACGCACTTCTAATTCGTTCATGCTGATTGGAGAGGCAGAGCCCCAAGCCTGTAGCTGGGACAGTCCCACCCTGCAGCTCCACAATGGCGCCCAGGGTTATTTTCAGTCTGGGGGCTGGCTTTTGGGTCTCTGCGCTGAATTGGGTTGGCTGTCAGGGAGTGAGAATTTACAAGCAAGAGAAAGGGGTTTGTTCAGAAGGTGGTTTCCATGGCCCCCAGCACTCTCTGCTCGCCCCAGCCCTCCCCTTCGTGCGGGACCGGGGTGACTTGGACGCCCTCCTGGTCTCGCTCCCTCCCCCAGCTTCCAAGTGTGAAGACAAAGCGGGTGCCAGCGGGAGAGTCTGTCTGTCTCACTCACTTCAGGGCCAGAGCAGAGGAAGGAAATGGAGGAGGAAGTTCCTCCCCTGCTGGGCGCTGGGTGAAAGTGGGAGGCAGGCCGGGGGTCTGAGTGAGTCACGGCAGCCCCGGGGAGGGAGGGGCTGGCAGCTGCGGAAGCCTGCAGAGGGCGATAGCACTGCAGCCTCCCTGGGGCCAGGGCATCGCTGGGGTAGCCAGGGCTTGTGCCGAGAGCCTGCCGGTACTGCCTAGCCCCAGCCCTCCTCGGCTCTCTCGGCGGTTTCCTGGGAACTCCTGACCTGGAACGTCTAGGGTCTGAGGTCAGCCTGGACCTGCAGATTCATTCGCCGGGGCTTCCTGAGCTCTCGTCTCCTCCCCTTCCCTCCCCTCCCCTCCCCTCCCCTGTCTTCCCCCTCCTAGCCTGACTGGTTCAGGATCAGAATCAGCGTGGGGAAGAGGTGGGCCATGTAGCTCCCACCCTCACCAGCTTCCTGGGGAGGATTAAAAAAAACCCTCTCTTTGAAAATACATGCAAATTATATATGCGAGTTATAACTGACATGTAAGTAATAAAAACGCATGTAAGTTGTAAAGTCCTGGTCCGGATTCTGTCCTGTAGCAGGATAAATAGAGCGACCTGTTGTTGTTTTTTTAATCAAGTTGGAAAATAAACACAGAAACACTGAGCACTCTAGTCACGCCATGTCATGGAGAAACCTTCGGACCTAGGTTCTAGCAGTCTCCACCCCCAGCATCGGAGCTGTACTATTCCTTCTCTTGGGATGCCAGGAGCTCTTTGGCAGAGAGGAGGGTGGGTGGGGACTGCTGACCAGCTACCCGGCTGGATCCTGCCTCCAGCCCACCAGGGCTGCAAAACAGGTTCTGTGCTAGTTTGGGGAAGACTCTGGGAGCCACAGTCCCACCCAGCAGCTCCTCCCAGGGGTGGGGCTAGGAGTGCATACACCCTCGTGGGGCCTCACCTACATGTCTCAGTGCAAAGGAAGTGAGCCTAGCCCTGGGCCCTGGACTCTGCAGGGCCTGGTGGGGCTCCTGACCCTCAGCGCACATTTGGGAGTGATCCTGTTCTCTCCGCTTGCTGTCTGAGATGTGCTTGGAGTGTCAAAGGAGTGTTGGCTAAATAAAGCTCCTTCTGGGTCTGGTGGGGAGGCTGTTGCCTGGACAGATGTGAGAGGACCAGGCCTGGCTGCCCAGGGAGCTGAGGACTGGTTTAAGAGGAGAAGGGAGCCCAGCATGGGCTTTGTCATCCCTTTTCCCAGCATGACCGCAGGGGCTGGGGCTGGATTTCAGCCCCTGCTGCCCCCTTAGGTGGTGCGTTTGTGCAATGCACGCATTACACAACCAAACACAGCCATCCTGGAGCCTAACCTGGATGGTGAGGTGGTGGGACAAGAGGAGAGTCACAGAGCACCCCAGGAGATGCTGCTGCCTTCTGGTAACTCCCCCAGGGTCCTGGCTCCTGCCTCACCAATGCTGCTCTGTGATCTGTGGCTTGTCCCTGTGAGGCAGTCGAACCGCAAAGCCTTAGAGGCCCTTCCCTCACACTCGTGCTGACATCTGGGGCATCGTGGGAGGCTCTGGCTGACGCTCTTGCTATTCTTCTGTCTGCAGACTCCAGGGCCTTGCGAGCATCATGAACTTGGAAGAGTAGACGAGCCCAAGAGCCTTCAGGGCAAAGGAAGGAAGAGCCAGCAGTTCTTTCTCCCTGTGCCTGGCCGGTCATCCAGCATTTTCCTCTGCCCCTGCTCTGCCTCCTCTGGCTCCTGGACTAGGGCCGGGCTTCCAGCAGGACCTTCCCCCAGGGGATGGGCAACTGGTGAATTAGGTCTCACTGCCGGGGCCACACCATGAACCTCCAGGCCCAGCCCAAGGCTCAGAACAGGCGGAAGCGTTGCCTCTTTGGGGACCAGGAACAAGCTCCCAAGGAGCAGCCCCCACCGCTGCAGGCCCCACAGCAGCCCCCGGCCCCTCCACAGTCCACCAGGGTGAAGGAGGAGACTTACTTTGGGCACGAGGGGCCGGCAGGGGTCGCCCCTGCCTCCCAGCCTGTGGAACTGCCCCCTCCCAGCAGCCTGGCCCTGCTGAACTCTGTGGTGTATGGGTCTGAGCGGACCACGGCGGCCATGTTGTCCCAGCAGGTGGGCTCAGTCAAGTGGCCCAACTCTGTGATGGCTCCAGGGCGGGGCCCGGAGCGTGGAGTGGGTGGAGGCGTCAGTGACAGTGGCTGGCAGCAGCAGCCGGGCCAGCCTCCACCCCACTCAACGTGGAACCGCCACAGCCTGCCCCTCTACAGTGGACCCAAGGGGAGCCCTCATCCTGGCATGGGGGTCTCTACCTACTATAACCACCCTGAGGCACTGAAGCGGGAGAAAGGAGGGGGACCGCAGGTGGACCGCTATGGAAACGCTGTTCGCCCAATGATGCCGCAGAAGGTGCAGTTGGAGGTGGGGCGGCCCCAGGCACCCCTGAACTCTTTCCATGTGGCCAAGAAGCCCCCAAACCAGACGCTGCCCCTGCAACCCTTCCAGCTGGCATTCGGCCACCAGGTGAACCGGCAGGTCTTCCGGCAGGGCCCACCGCCCCCCAACCCTGTTGCTGCCTTCCCGCCGCAGAAGCAGCAGCAGCAGCAGCAGCAGCAACAGGCAACCCTGCCCCAGATGCAGCTCTTCGAGAACTTCTACCCCATGCAGCAGCCGCCCTCTCAGCAGCCCCAGGACTTTGGCCTGCAGCCGGCCGGGCCACTAGGGCAGTCCCACCTGGCTCACCACAGCATGGCACCCTACCCCTTCCCCCCCAACCCTGATATGAACCCAGAACTGCGCAAGGCCCTCCTGCAGGAGTCCGCCCCGCAGCCTGTGCTACCTCAGGCCCAGATCCCCTTCCCCCGCCGCTCCCGCCGCCTCTCTAAGGAGGGCGTCCTGCCTTCCACCGCCCTGGATGGGGCTGGCACCCAACCTGGGCAGGAGCCCGCCAGCAACCTGTTCCTACATCACTGGCCCCTGCAGCAGCCACCAGCCGGCCCCCTGGGGCAGCCCCATCCCGAAGCTCTGGGATTCCCGCTGGAGCTGAGGGAGTCACAGTTGCTGCCTGACGGGGAGAGACTGGCACCCAATGGTCGGGAGGCTCCTGCCATGAGCAACGAGGAAGGCATGCGGGCGGTGGGCACGGGGGAGTGTGGGCAGGTGCTACGGGGTGGGGTGATCCAGAGCACACGACGGAGGCGCCGGGCGTCCCAGGAGGCCAATTTGCTGACCCTGGCCCAGAAGGCAGTGGAGCTGGCCTCACTACAGAACACAAAGGTGAGAGTGGTGTGGGGTGGGGGCCAGCCCTGGCAGAGGGCAGGATGAGCCGTGTCTGGGGCCAGGGGAGAGTGAGTGGCTCCAGGTCCATCAGGGCAGTTTTCTCACTTCATGGAAGGAAGTGAAAGAACCCATTCATTTCAGAGAGTTCTGAACTCCCTGCATGCAAAGAATCTCTACATAGTTGCATCCACACCTGAAGGGAAGATGAGATTTACACGCATGCAGCGTTGCGGGCAGGAAAGTGCAATACACCATTGTGGGTTGGCTTTTTCATTTGGGACTTGAAGGGTTGGGTGGAAAAGGAGGTGAAACCATTTCCAGATCTGGTATGTTCGAAGACAAGAGTGTGGTAGTGATTGCACAGGTGACTATGTTTGTCAAAATGGATTGAACTGTAATTAAGAATAGGTCATTTGTTATGTGTAAATTATACTGCGGTAAAGTTGATTTAAAAGAAAATAACAATGGGGGAGAAGATTGAACAGAATTTGAGGTCCTATGTTGTACTCGGAGTTTCCTATATTTGATCACAAGCAATTTATTATCAAACTCTATGAGAGGGATGCTTCATTTATCCTCTTTTGCTGCTAAAGAAACTGAGACCCAAGTGAGATTTCCCAAAGTCACAAAGCTGGGATAGAAGCCTAGGAGGCTGTAGAATTTGACTTCACTCCAGCCAGTTTCCAGTGGGGAAATAGATTCAAAGACCAGCTTGACCTTGTGCAGATTCTTTGCTTTTTTTTGCAGAGATATGTTTTGAATATATTTAGATGCTATTTCACGTGGCACTCACTGTGCAGGCCAAACAAAATACATCTATAAACCACTTGTGGCCTGAGATGGCCGCCTGGGGACCTCTGCTCTAGGCCAGGATGGGAGGACCTGTCATGAAGGAGATTATGAAGAGTGTTTGGGAATGTGGTGGGAGAAAAGGTGGTCAGGGAAAGGCCAGGTTGTCAAAAACCATTGGGAGCCATAATGGGTGTTTGAGAACCTGAATCAAATGGGACTAGGGGTCCTGGACCAGTAAATCAGGACTTATCTTCTAAACGTCGCCTCCATTCCCCCTCCCTCTCCTTCTCCAGGATGCCAGTGGCTCTGAGGAGAAGCGGAAAAGTGTATTAGCTTCAACTACCAAGTGTGGAGTGGAGTTTTCTGAGCCTTCCTTAGCTGCCAAGCGAGCACGAGAGGACAGTGGGATGGTACCCCTCATCATCCCAGTGTCTGTGCCTGTGAGGACTGTGGACCCAACCGAGGCAGCTCAAGCTGGAGGTGTTGATGAGAATGGGAAGGGCTCTGAACAGAACCCCACTGAACACAAGCCGTCGGTCATCGTCACCCGCAGGCGGTCCACCCGTATCCCCGGGACTGATGCCACCGCTCAGGTATGACAGGCTTCCCATGAAAACACCTCCAGTACCCCTGGGGACCTAGTGCACTATGGGAAAAAGGAGTACGTGCCAGTGTAGGAGGGATTCGAGCAACCCATGGGGATACTGTTTAGATTTTCCAAACCAAACTTCTGGACAAATACGCTTATGGGGGACAATGAGGCAGTTTTATACTTGAAACTGGGACTATCTAGGAAAATCTAGGATATATGAATCTCTTTCATTTCAGGTCAGCAAATTTTGATTGAGCCTCTAATATGCGTCAGGCCTTGTGCCAGGCACTAGGACGTAGAGACGTTTGCTTGTTCTGTCAATATACACACATGTATGTTGGAATCTCCCACTAGGACTGAGGTTTTGTTTATTTCTTCTTTTAGTTTCGTTTTATACATTTGATGCAGTGTTGCTAGTTGCATACTCATTTAGAACTGGATTAGACACTTTATCCTTATGAAGTGTTTCTTTTTATCTTTAGTTATCTTTTTGCCTTTTAAATTCCACTTTGTCAAATACGTAACTTTCTTTTGGTTAGTGTTGGGTGGGGGGATGGGATATGTATCTTTTCCATCTTTTTACTTTCAGCCTTTCTGTATGCCTCTACTTAAGGTGTATCCTTCAAGTGACATATAATTGAGGTTTGTTATTATCTGTTCTAACAACCTTCGTCTTTAAATTAGAACATTGATACATTTGCATTTAATGTAATTACTGATATACTTGGGTTTAAATCTGCCATCTTCTGTTTGCTTTCTGTTTATCCATCCTGCCTTCTGTGTTCCTTTTCTTTCTTTTTTGTTTTCTTTTGGATTGTTTGGGTTTGTTATTCCATTTCCTCTCTTTATTAATTTATTAGTTATGTATTTATTGCTCTTTTAGGGATTACCCTAGCAGTGTTTCTTACCTGGATTTCTATGAGAGAAGTAAGCTCTACAGAAAGGGACTCAATTGACTATTTTCTCCATTCTCTGAAGAATGGTACATACCTAGTGCCATTCTAGATGCATAGGAGAAAAGTTAACTCATTATATACAGTGAATGCCTTATGATGTTAGGGCTCAATTTTCGGGTTGAGAAGGGCTACTAGGGATTGAAACATGAATTCTTGGCTTATTGAAATCTAGTATAAGTTGAGTACTTTACCTCTTCCTGGACAATGCAAAGGCTTTTGCAACACTTTACCTCCATTTTCCACCGATCCCTAACTTGTAGAATTAGTGACATGTATTTTCATTCTTTATATATTTGGCATCAACAGAACATTATAACATTGTTTTGTTGAGCTGTTCATTTTAGATTTAGTCAAATACTTACTGTTTTTCTTCCTTTTCATTTCTTCCCATATCTCGAAGGTTCCATCTCAGATCATTTATAATATTGCTGCTTAAAGAACAGCCCTTAGAATTTCCTTTAGTGTGAGTCTGTTCGTGATAAATTTTATTAGTCCTTGATTATCTGAAAATATTTTTACTTCATCTTCATTTTTGAAGGATAACTGCTGAGTGGGGAATTCCGTGTTGGTAGTTATCTTTAAAGTGCCAAAAGAAAATATTGTTCCATTGTCTTCAGGCTTCCATTGTAGTTTCAGTGTTGAGAAATCGCTATAAGCCATATTGTTGCTCCTTTGAACGTAAGGTGTCTTTTTCTCTTGTTGCTTTTAAGTTTTGTTTTGTTTTTTGGTCATTGGTTTCCAGCAGTTTGGCTTTTATACCTAAATATGGTTTTCTTTGTTTTCTGTTTAGAGTTTGTGGTGCGTCTTGATTATTTCTTCTGGCTCATTTTCTCTCTCTTCTCCTTCTGGGACTCCAGTTACACATTCTTTAGAGCTTTCTGCCGTATTCTCTATTTTGTCTGTCATGCGTTTTTCTATATTTTCCATTGTTTTCTCAGTCTGATCTTTCTTTCTTTCTCATTCTAATCTTTTCAGACTCTTTGTCTGTGTCTACTATGTTGTTAAGCTCATTCATGAGTTCTTAATTATTTTACTTTTCAGTTACTGAATTTTCATTTGGTTCGTTTTTAGAGTTTCTAGTTCTTTGATGAAATTCTCAACCTTGCCTTTTATTTTACTGCATAAATTAAGCATAGTTTTGTTAAAGTCTATGTCTGGATCCCTGTGGATCTGTTTCTATTATCTGTTATTTCTTGTTTTTAAATCACATCTTGCTCTCTTGTATATCTGGTTATTTTTATTGAATGTCAGACATTATATATGAAAATTGTTAAGGTAATTACAAACTCTGGATGATGTTCAGCTCTTCCAGAGAGAATTTATCTTTGCATCTCACTGGTAGCAAAGAGCATCAGCAATCCTGGATGACTTTAATTTCTTCAGAGATTGAGATGAGATGATTTGAAGCTGGGTGCACTCCATTTGAGGCCTAGTCCATTTCTGATTTGCCTTTATTCTGAGGATATAGCCCTTTGGAGTCCCAGTCCAAAGCCTGGGGGTTTACCAGGCTCTCCTTCCTTGGCAAGGCCTAAATTTCGATTTTTATTCTGCTAGCTCCTAGAATTTTTTAAAAACTCTACTCAATTTCTCAGCCTCTCAGTTGCCTCTTCCAGTAACGACATCCCCCTCCAGGGAAAACACAATTCCACATGCTAGGCTCACTTTCTTGGCTTTCCTTTTTTTCCTGGCTCTCGGCTCTTTAATTCTTTGCCAACTTATTTGCTCTCTGATACCTTCAGAAATGTGGTTTTATATTGACTCTGGGTTTTCTAGGTATTCTTAGCTGGGAAGTGGGCCTGCATGCCTATCCTCCTAAACAGAAAGGGGAGCTCCACGATGACCATGAGCAGCACAGTCTCTGCTCTCTGGGGTCTTGTTCTCTGGTTGGGGGAAAGTTTGTGGTAGAGGCTGGAGGCCGGATGCCTGGACCGCTTATCCTGAGGATGGCAGGAAGCAGCCTGAGCAACTACACAGCTCAGCGTGCCCATTTCATAGATGAGGAAATAGGTCCAGAGAAGGCAAGAGACTTACCAAAGGTCACAGAGCCAAGTAATGACAGAGCTCTCTGGAATTTGGACTTCCTGAAACCCCGCCTATGAGTACTTTCACTACACTAGGCTTTGGGAGAGCTGTATTTTTTGTCATTTGCTTATTTATTTTTCTTTGTATTATACACATTTTCAATCATGCACAGAAGTGGAGAGATTGGTATCATGAATCCTAATGTTTAGCCATCGCTCTGCTTTAACAATTTTCAAGATACAGCCAATGTTCTTTCATTTGTAACTCCGCTTCTCCCAGCCACTGGATTTTTTTTGAGGCCAATCCCAAACATCACATCACTCTATTCATCAATACTTTGGTTTGTATCTGAAGTACATCATACATAAGGACTCTTTCTTTCTTTTTCTTTGGTGAGGAAGATTGGCCCTGAGTGAACATCTGTTGCCAATCTTCCTCTTTTTGCTTGAGGAAGATTGTTGTTGAGCTAACATCTGTGCCAATCTTCCTCTATTTTGTATGTGGGACACTGCCACAGCATGGCTTGATGAGCAGTGTGTAGGTACACGCCTGGGATCTGAACCCATGAACCCTAGGCTACTGAAGCAGAGCAACTGAACTTAATCACTATACCACTGGCCAGCCCCTTTCTTTCTTTCTTTTTTTTTTAACATAGCCTTAATACCATTATCATACCTAAAAAATTAATACAAAAAGTATTGTCAAATATTCAGAATAGTTTAAATCCATTTCCCTTATTATGAAATTACAAATCGTTACAGCTAGCTGAGTTCATATTGGATTTCTTGTCTAGCAAGTTTGGGGGCTTTTGGCTCCACTGTATTTTTTTCTGTACCATCATATTGTTCTCCTAAGGGAGGAAGAATGAACAATTTCTTCCTAGTCTGTAGAAGAGCAGAGAGGGCACAAATGGCTGAAAGACATGGCCAGTGCCTCCTAGGGAGTGAGGGCCCTCCCCTGGAAGGTCTTGTGGGAGCTGGAACCTGGGACTTGGAGAAAGTCTGTTAGCCCCAGGCCCACTCCGTCAGTGTGGCCAACCTCGCCTGTTGGCAGACCGGGCACCCAGGGAGATGATATGGATGCTGCTCATCCCCGTGGGGCTCCATTCTCTCCTGAGAGCATAGGGGTGAATCAAGGATAGGTTTCTATTCCCTTCCAGCTCTGTCTTCTGTTCTGTGTGGAGGCCCAAGAGGCATACCAAGCAGAGAGAAGTGTAAACCAGGAGGACTAACCTTTGACAGCACGAGTAGGCTAGCCTCTGATAGTGGGACTAATACTGTGACAACCAAAGTTTCTTCAAGGACAGGCCTGTCCTGTTCATTTTGTGGTCCCATGCCCAGCTCAGGTCTTGGCACACAGTAGGGGCTTCCATCTTCGCAGAGCCTGAAGTTGAAGTAGTGATAGCAGCCAGCATTTATTGAGCCAGGTCCTGTTCTCAGTGATTTCCATGTATTAATTCATTTAGTCCTCATAGCTACCCCATTAGGTAGGCACTTAATTATTCCCATGTTAAAAATGGTGATGCACTGAGAGTTAAGTAATTTTAAGTGGGAAGTAAAAGAAGTAAAGCCCAGTCCAAGCAATTCAGCTCCAGAGCCTGGCCCTTAAATACTGCAGTCCCTGTCCCACAGCGTCCTTTACAGCAGGGGTGGGGACTGTGGCCTGTGAGCCAAATCCAGACCTAAGAATATTTTTGACTTTTTTTTTTCATTAATATTTTTGACATTTTTAAAGAATTATTTAGGGGCCGGCCCTGTGGCTGAGTGGTTAAGTTCACACACTCCACTTGGCGGCCCAGGGTTTCCCAGGTTCAGATCCTGGGCGCGGACCTAGCACTTCTCATCAGGCCATGCTGAGGCGGCGTCCCACATGCCACAAATAGAAGGACCCACAACTAAAAATATATACAGCTATGTCCTGGGGGGCTTTGGGGAGAAGAAGGAAAAATAAAATCTTAAAAAAAAAAAAAGAATTATTTAAAGGTGGTTGGGGCTGGCCCCGTGGCCGAGTGGTTAAGTTCACGGGCTCCACTTTGGCGGCCCAGGGTTTCTGCAGCCCAAAGTTTCGCTGGTTCGGATCGTGGGCTCAGACATGGCACCGTTCATCAGGCCATGCTGAGGTGGTGTCCCACGTGCCACAACCAGAAGGACCCACAACTAAAAATATACAACTATGTACCAGGGGGCTTTGGGGAGAAAAAGGAAAAATAAAATCTTTAAAAAAAAAAAAAAGGCAGGGGCAAGAGAAGAATAATAATATGTAACAGAGACCGCGTATGGCCCACAAAGTGTAAATATTTACTATCTGGCCATTGACAGAGGAGACAATAAGAAGGGGGTGTTGGACCTGCTCCCTTTCTCAGGCTTGCCTTGGTGGGTGTGGTGGGCAGACTAAGTTCCAAAGGTGAGACCAGCAAACAGTGCTCAAGACTTCCGTTTTCCCAGGTCATGGGAGTCTGAACCATCTTGGTTCTGTTTCCTTCTCTAGGCTGAGGACATGAATGTCAAGTTGGAGGGGGAACCTTCAGTGCGGAAACCAAAGCAGCGGCCAAGGCCTGAGCCCCTGATTATCCCCACCAAGGCGGGCACCTTCATCGCCCCTCCCGTCTACTCCAACATCACCCCATACCAGAGCCACCTGCGCTCTCCTGTCCGGCTGGCCGACCACCCCTCTGAGCGGAGCTTTGAGTTGCCCCCGTACACACCACCCCCCATCCTCAGCCCGGTGCGAGAAGGCTCCGGCCTCTATTTCAATGCCATCATGTCAACCAGCAGCATCCCGGCCCCTCCTCCCATCACGCCAAAGAGTGCCCATCGCACCCTCCTCCGGTCTAGTGAGTGACCCCCCTCGGTGGCCAAGGGGGTAGGGAATGTGGGGAGGGAGGCAGCAGGCAGGGATGAGTCTCAGTTTATGGGGCTCCTGGGGATTGGGCTGCGATGCTGTGGGAAAAGGAGCCCTGCTCTCTCTCCTCTGAGAGAGAGGAGAAGGTTGTCCTGGTTCAAGTACACGTGGACGTCGGGGAGGGGGAGTGTGAGCCCAACTGCTGGATTCAAATCCCCATTCCGCCATTTGCTATTACATCTGTGCAAGTCATTGAAACTCCCCGGGCCTCAGTTTCTTCAGTATGTAAATGAGGATATTAGTAGTATTTGGTTGATGATGAAATTGCCAATATTCAAGTACCTTTAGATCCACAAATAGCAGTTTCCTATGGTTCAACCTAATAGTGCCTCACAGGGTTGCGGTGAGATTCAGATGCATTAACACGGCTGAAGCACTTAACATCGTGCCTGGTGCATCACATTTGTTCTGAATATTGTGTGGCAGATCCTGTCTCCTGGGTCTCTTAAACAGTCATTTTGGCCAAGAGCAGACATTTTGGTTGGCTTGGGCCGTGAATTGCTGAAAAATGTTGCCCACTCCACAAAAGGATCCATTTCCCCTGAAGCATGGGATAATTCTATCTCAGGGTGGTGGAGAGGATTAAGTGGGAGTAATCACCACCACCAGGGTAGCACGGGGGTGAGGCAGCACTCTCACCAGATTAATCTCTGACCCTGACCTCACTCATGGTGTAGCTCTCTGGTGCCCCCTGGTGTCTGTGGGTGAGAAATGGCTCACCCTGGGCTGACTGGCCTTTGGCTGTCCCAGTTGCCCTGGAAGCTTCCAAGCTTCTCTCCCTGCCTGGGTTGTGCAGGAAGAAGTCACAGGAGAGACCAGATTGGCAGCAAAGAAGAGATCTGTCCACCCATGAGTATTTATTGAGCACTTGGGTATAAAGCCTTGAACTGGGTCCTGTGAGAGCCCCAGTAATGTACAGGACACTATGGTCTGTTCCAGAGAGAATACAGGGTCATTAGGGAGATGACATGGAAGTCTTGGAGACAGAAAAGCAGAGGTTCTGGGCAGTGTGGGATCAGCAGTCAGTGGGTGAAGCAGACCCTAAGCTCCGAAGCCTGCAGAGGCTGCTAGCCTGGGGTGGTGAGGAAAGCTTTCCAGAGAGGTGGGGCTAGGCTGAGCTTGAACTACAAAGGGGTCGGGGGGCACACTAGGCAGAGGAACTGAGTGGTGCAAAGGCCTGGAGGTGAGACTGCGCAGGGAGAATGAGCTGCTCGGAGTCTGCTAGGATGAGGGTCCCGGCAAGGCTGCAGCGGGAGGGCGGGAGGCCTAGCTGGAGGGGAACTGCCTTGAATGGGCCGAGCTGAGGAGTTCTGGTTTTATCTCACCTTGCAGAGGGGGATCAGCAAAGATTTTTTTTGGGAGCAAGGCAGTATTTGGATCGTGTGGGGCATTAAGAAGGTTAGCTGAGGAGAAACAGAGGCAGAGAACCCGACAGGGAAGTGAGGAGATAATTATGACATAGTGATCCCCTTCTCCACCTCGCTAGTGTGCGGCAAGTTTCAGCCCCTTTGCTGGAGCAAGCAGAGTTGAATGTTGGAGTTAGTTCTGAAGCGGGGGAGCTCCCGGGGCAGGGACACTGTGGTAGCAGTTGTAATAACTAGGCTTTGCACGGATTTCATTCAATCCTCACATTAAACTTAGGAGATAGGTAGTAATAGCCCCTTGTAACGGGTATGAAAATGGAGGCACCCATGTATTTGGTAAAGTCACAGTCAGTGGTCACAGAGCCGGGACTGAGGGGGCCTGATTTCCAAGTGTGACCCTCTGCGAGTCACTGCTCTCGCTCGTGCATACAGAGCAGCCACCTAAGGTGGGAGGGGCTTTGCTGAAGGGAGGAAGGTGACTAACCAACCTGCCTTTTGTCCTATAGATAGCGCTGAAGTCACCCCGCCTGTTCTCTCTGTGATGGGGGAGGCCACCCCAGTGAGCATCGAGCCGTAAGTGCAGCCCTGCCTCTGGCCCGTGGTGTGAGTGGAGTCCAGTGGAGGCAGGCGGGCCCTGCGAGGAAGAGGAGGGTTCTGTGGGGCCTGCGGAGGGCTGAGCAGGCCTCTCTGGGCTTCTGCAGTCAGCCCTGGCCTTTGCTGTCCCCACCCTGCTTCTGTGTGGAAGTCACTGGGAAAGGAAAGGACCAGCTCAGTTTGAATTTGCCTCTGAGGAGAATTCGAAGGGTAGTCCACGAGACTCTTTCCCTGTCCGTAAATCTGGGGCTTCTCCCTTTTCCGACCTGTGGGCCTTGGCTTTCTGGTGGTATCAGGTGCCGCTTGCCAGGCTGTCCTCACAGAAACCGGGTTTCCTTACACTCAGCTGAGGCCTTGCCATGCTCAGCCTCTGCCAACTTCTACATCTTCTCCCTACATCTTCACCCATCCCCAGGGAGAAAGTCAAGTTCCCCATCCCCACAAGGTGAGGCCTCACTCCCTGTCCTTTCCACCTCTGCAGACGGATCAACGTGGGCTCGCGTTTCCAAGCAGAAATCCCCTCAATGAGGGACCGTGCCCTGGCAGCTTCAGACTCCCACAAGGCCGACTTGGTGTGGCAGCCATGGGAGGACCTAGAGAGCAGCCGAGAGAAGCAGAGGCAAGGTGAGAGGGGACCTGAGCCAGCAAGTGAAGGCAGGCTGTTGGGCAGGTGGGTGGGCTAGGTCTAGCCCCCGCCCAGCCCAGCCCTGAAAGTGATTTCCTCTCCTCCCTTCCCACTCTCTCTCCCAAATCCAGTGGAAGACCTGCTGACAGCTGCCTGCTCCAGCATTTTCCCTGGAGCTGGCACCAACCAGGAGCTGGCCCTGCACTATCTGCATGAGTCCAGGGGAGACATCCTGGTGAGACATTGCCCCCAGGGAAGGGAGGGACCCTTAGAGAGGCTGGCATGGATCCGTATCTGCTGCCCAGGAGCCAGGCCTGCTGGCGTGCTGATTTGAGGCAGGTGGGAGGGTCTGACCGAGTTGGGAGTTGTAGGGGCTCAGCCCAAGGGAGCCCTCGTTCTGAACTCCAGACTTTGCTGCACAAGGTCCTCCCGTCTGTCCTAGTCCCCGATACTGGGTCAGTGGGTCCTCACTCTCAATAGGGCTGTCACTGAGGGCCTTCTCCATCTGTGGCTGCCTGCTTTGGGGGCCACATGTTCCCTGTTAAGAGGCCCTCTGGCCTGGTTCCCGAGCAGCCTTATTCCCCATGACCTTACCATCCTGCCAGACCCTTGTCTTTCAGCAGTTAAGGGGGTAAGAGTAAATGCCCCTCCTACTCAGAGGCCTGAGGAAGCCCTCTGAATTTTGCCCACTGAGACCCCTGCCAGGGCCCTGACCTTTTCCTCACTTCTGTTCCAGGAAACGCTGAATAAGCTGCTACTGAAGAAGCCCCTGCGGCCCCACAATCACCCACTGGCAACTTATCACTACACAGGTGGGTGGGCCTGGCCGGGGGTGGGCCTGGCTGGGGGTGGGCCTGAGGCCAGGAGCCTCAAGGGGTCTCCAGCATCACTGGGACCCAGCTTAGTGCTGGGTCATCCCTGGTAGGGATTGGGAGGTGGGAGGAGGATAAGCCGAGAGTCAGAGGAAGGGAACTAACACCAAAGCTGGGGTAGCTCTCAAGGGGTTTCCTGTGCCCTGGAGGGGAAGGGAGAGGACGAGGGCAGGTGGGAGCCACTCCAGGCAAAAAAGCCCAGGACATGAGTACAAGGGACAGAAACCATGGAGTGCCATGTCCTGGGCACTGAGCTTTATGAGAGACATTGACTAAGTGGCACAATTGTAGCAGCCACTTATTGACACCTGTTGAGTGGTACGTGTCATCTGTGTCAGGCAGAGCACCGAGGGTCCCAAACGTGTGATCTCACTTAGTCCACACCACAGTTGGTGAGGTGGCTCCCGTTGTTAGTTCCTGTTTCACAAGTGCGGAGAGCGAGGCTCAGAGGCTGAGCAGCATGGCTAGTGGGTGGCAGGAGCAGGATGTGGAGCCATCTCTGAGTGCCTGCAGAGACTGTGGATGGATGCCTCCCACTCTCCTGCCGGGCAGCATTGCCCTCGCAGTGCTCACAATCCCGCCTTGCCCTGCAGGCTCTGACCAGTGGAAGATGGCTGAGAAGAAGCTGTTCAACAAGGGCATTGCCATCTACAAGAAGGATTTCTTCCTGGTGCAGAAGCTGGTGAGCTGGGGCTCTGTTTCAGGGGCAAGTGAAGGGCGGGAGCTGCCGGCATGATTTGGGGCTCCCTCTGCCAGTGGCCCTGCAGTTGCTTACCAAGCCCTCTTAGAAAGCGGTTAGGTCAGTGCCACTAAGTAGCCTCAGAGAAAATATTCTACACCAAATGAGCAGGGGAAAAGATCATGCCTTTTCTCCACCTTGGTTCCAAGCCTCCTTCCCTCACTGTAGGGTAATGTGGCCATGCTCTGGGGTCTCAGTTCAGAGGGAGGCCTGAGTGGGTACCAGACCCAGTGGCGTCAATCTTAAAATAGTGACTTGCCAAAGGGAGAACAAGAAGAGAAGGAGGGCTGCAGGCAGAGTGAGCCATCCCCCAAGGGGCTGGGTACTTCAAAAGCCATGGTCAGTATGTGAGAGGAGAGGTCGCTCTAAGATGAGGGGAACTGAGAGCGAGCAAGTGACTGTAACTGATGTGTGTGTGTGGGGCTGTGCCCAGTTCCTGTCAGGCCCGGGGCTTCCTTCCAGTAACTCAGCTGACCAAGCAGACGAGGCCCAAGCCTAGTTCTCCGAGACTTCTGTCCTCTCCCCAGGTCCTTCTGGGAGAGTAGAGTGCTTTGCTAATCTACAGACTTGTGTCTTTCCACCAGTCTCACAAAATCTGGGCTATGGGGAGAGTAAGTTGTGTAGACTGCTGAGGGAAAAGGGCTTCCAGGAATGTGCTCTTTCCTCCTGGGATTGTAGATTGTGCTAGGGATGGCCCTGGGGACTGGAGAAAGTACTGATGAGTTCTCTTACAAGGGCTCTGTTGTGAGGATAGTCGTTTGCTGGGTTCCCTGATTGGGCAATACTGCCAGGAAGTACATGCTTGTGAAATTCACTGAGGCACCCCTAATGCCTTAATGAAAAGAGCAGACCATTAGTCACTCAAACAGATGATCAGAGAGCATTGACAGTAAAAGTGTAAACAGGATCTAATTAGTGAATTTATGACTTGGCCATTCCTGTGGGATGAAGCATATCTGTTTCCTCCTCAGGCAGTGACGACCCTCACTGACCTCTGCGCTCTGTGAACAGGACATCTCGGCTCCCAGTGCAGCCCAGCAGTTGCTGAGCAGTCTGGGAGCCTGGGGAGAACGGGGGGAATCCCAGAAAACAGCCTCTGTGTATGGGAAAGTAGTCCAGAAACTAAACCTGGTGGCCAAATGGATTTCTGAAACAGCGGGGCTAGGATTTCATAGTGGGGGCGGCCCTTGGAGATGGGCTAGTCTTACCCCACTCGCTATTTACACACAAAGAAACTTGCCTAAGGTCACAGCCATAGAGTGGCAGAGTTAGGAATAAGACTTCGGCCTCCTGCTTCCTCTTCAGGTTTTCCAGGGCTTTCTTATTAGTTTCCCTTGAGTTCCTCCCTGACATAGGACCATTTTATGTTTCTTTATCTTCACTTGTCTGTCACCACTCCCTGCAGAGGAATGAAATTGTCTGCCTGGATTGATGAAGAGAGTCTGTGTTGCCAGGTCTAGACTGGTTTGAGTGTGGCTGGTGTCCATTTTCCTCTTTAACTTTTTATTTTGAAAAAATTTCAAACTTACAGAGAAATTGAAAGAATAGTGTGATGAACACCCATATATGCCTCGCTTAGATTTACCAATTGTTAACATATGCCACATTTGCTTTTTCTCTCTGTCTCTATATAAACTTATACACACACCTATAGTGCCTCTCTGTTTTAACTAATCATTAAAAGTAAGCTACAGACATCATGACCTTTGACCCAAATATCTCCTAAAAACAAGGATATTCTCGCACAAAACCTCATTACCCAGGAAATTTAAACCAAAGGGGCCGGCCCCGTGGCTGAGTGGTTAAGTTTGCGTGCTCTGCTTTGGTGGCCCAGGGTTTCGCTGGTTCGGATCCTGGGTGCGGATGTGGCACGGCTCGTCAGGCCATGCTGGGGCGGTGTCCCACATGCCACAGCTGGAAGAACCCACAACAAAAAATATATACAACTATTTACTGGGGGGGCTTTGGGGGGAAAAAGGAAAAATAAAATCTTTAAAAAAAAAAAAAAGAAAAAGAAAGAAATTTAAACCGATACAGTAATGCTCTCTAATATGCAATCCATAGTCAAGTCTCGCCAGTGGCTCCATGTTGTGGTTTTTAGGTTTTTTAAATAGTGCTGAAGCATTGCTTCACTGAATTTGTCAGTGGTTTGTGCAGAGCAGGCACTGGAGAAATGCTTGTGTTTCCTGGGCTTATTGGGTTGAGTGTTTGCTAAGGTTAAGGGGGGATTAGCAGGGATGGGAAAGGCTGGAGTATTCTCAGGCAGGCGAGCTGAACCAGGAACTCACCTCAGTTTTGGCTTCAAACCAGATCCAGACCAAGACCGTGGCCCAGTGCGTGGAGTTCTACTACACCTACAAGAAGCAGGTGAAAATTGGCCGCAATGGGACGCTAACTTTCGGCGATGTGGATACAAGTGATGAGAAGTCAGCCCAGGAAGAGGTTGAAGTGGATATTAAGGTGACTCCCTTCCCAACTTCAGCTGCTTAGAGCCTGGGCTGGGTCTGAGGCCAGGGTGAGCTGGGAGCCTGAGGCCAAGCTCTCTGAGAGTCCCTGGAGGGCAGAGACAAGGCAGTGCCCCTGACAGCCCCAGGGAGCTGATGTCCTGGGCACTGGCCCTGGATCTTCGAGTTCTCTTCTTTATCTGCCACTGTCACAGTGATCGTGACAGTCTTGATGCAGAACATTGGGGGAAGTTTCCCACAATATTCGCACCAGCGTCATCTTACTGTTCCCTCATAGCAGACCTCCAACACTGTTTCCCAAACTCCAGTCATTCTTGTGTGACGGTTATGAATTCTGCTGTATCTGTAGCCTGTCACATCACCATCACTATTTTTGTTATGTCCATATACCACTTGTGCTATTACTTAATATTTGTTTTAAGTTAACCCATTTTTTACCCAGAAGGGAAGCTTTATGTCATAATCATAAATAGAAAACCAGTATTGCTTGCCATAGAAGGTACCGGTAAAAATAAATATATATGAAAACCAAACAATGTGATTAAATTCAAGGTAGATACTGTTATCTGCCAAGGCTCTGAGACTGAGGCCTGATCTCTCTCGTTCAGTCTAGAAAAGGGTAAAAGACACATTCACGCCAACTTGAGACTTTGTCCTTGATATAATCAGGATTGATAGAGAATGTTGTTTAATTCTGTGTCCATATATCCACCTAACATCACCTTGGGGTTTCAAGTCTATACTTGGTGACATGCTACTCTAAGACGGGGAGTGGTCTGGTCCTCATTTTGCAGATGGGAAGGGGGTGGAGAAATAGAAAGCAATAGAAAGATAGTTTAGAATGGAGCTCAAGGCTGCTGCCTGGCTCCACCAGACCACCCTGCCAAAGACATGTCTCCTGGACATATCCAGGAGGACAGGTGGCCTGTGGGGAGGGACTGGCATGCTCCCTCTCTGCCCCAGCTTGATTTCAAGTGCTTGGTCTCATCCTGAGGGCTCCTGGGCCTCCAGACTCTCTCCTTTCCCAGGCAGACCAGCTGTGGGAGGGTGTGGAATCAGTATGAGTCATAGCACAGGAGGCCGCACTGGGCCAGGCCAGGCAGGCAGGACTAGCAGGGGCCAGTGAGCAGAGTCCGTGCACTGCAGCTGTGTGACTGAGCTCTAGGCTCACTGCCCTCATTCTTGTCCCCCATAGACTTCCCAGAAGTTCCCAAGGGTGCCTCCTCCCAGAAGAGAGTCCCCAAGTGAAGAGAGGCTGGAGCCCAAAAGGGAAGTAAAGGAGACCAGGAAGGAGGGGGAGGAAGAGGTGCCAGAGATCCAGGAGAAAGGGGAGCAGGAAGAGGGGCGAGAGCGAAGCCGGAGGGCAGCGGCTGTCAAAGCCACACAGACACTACAGGCCAATGAGTCGGTAAGTGTGACTTCCAGTATGGGAGCCCAGGGCCAGGAGGAGGGCTGGAGCTGGGCCAGGGGGTGCGAGAGGGAGGGCAGAGCAGGAACATGATGAGGATGATCATCATCATAATAGCAGGAAATGTACTAAACACCTTATGCTGTTAACTCTTAATCCTCATAACCCTATGTGGTAGTTCCTGTCATTATTCCCATTTTACAGATGAGGAAATTGAGGTCCAAGATAAGGTAGCTATTAGCAGCCTGACTGCAGAGTCTGTTGTTAATTTTTATACCATACCTCTTCTGTATCTGAGGCTCAGAGGAGAAAGGATTTGTGAAAACCCAGAAGGTGTGTGGGACATTGAAGCTCAGGCAGGGCTCCCCCTAAGAGAGCTGTGTCCCTGACAAGAATGTCTGAAACTGAGCTGAGACAATGGGAATAACAATAATAGCTCCTTACACATGTACAGTGCTCTGCCTGTATCACAGGCCAAGAAGCAAGACACACCGGCCAGAGCTGTTCCTTCTTGGAGAGAGTTCCCCCAAGAGAGGGTGGGGATGGAAGGGTCTGTTGAAGCACTACCATGAGAGTCATGTGTATCGTACGCTTATGCTTACAGGAGCACCCCCACAGACTGCAGACACATAGCTGTTTGCTCCCTTCTTAGCCTTGGCTGTGTTCCTTCTCCAAGAGCTGTGCTCTGTATACATGCTCGATCGAATTCTGACTTCCGTGAACATTTTCCTGTGAGAGCCGACCCAGTGCACATACTGATGACTTCTAACGGTCATCTGGGGCTCCCCTAACCTGAGGCCCATGGTTCCCATACCCTGAGCAACACCTCTCCGGGTCTGCTCCTGGTGTCCTCTGCTCTCTGGTACCTGCTTGGCGTTTCCCATGCCTGGCTCATGTTGTCATGAGCTAGCTGCAGACATGTGTTATCCCTTCCACTAGACTTGGAGCTCTCTGAGGGCAGGGGTTCCTGTCTGTCACCTCTGTCCCCAACGCCTGACACATCACATGGAGTTGAATCTCATTTATGGAATGAAGGCATGAATGGACTGAAAACATGAACGCATGTGTCATTAATTGAGACATCGAGATCCCCTGTCAGACTCACGGAGAAGTCCTATAGCAGCTAGGCCTGTCCCACAGAATCACTGTACTCGCAGCTTTGTAAAGATAGAGCTGGCCAAAGACAGACTGGGCTGCGGAGAAGGCAGTGAGTGCCTTGTCACTAGAAGGATTCAAGTGGATGCTAGGGGACCATTTGGCATGAGTGTATGACCTTTAAGGGCCCTCTGTTCCTTGAGATTCCAGAATTCAAGATCCTCTCTTCCCCGAATCTCTGAACTCTCCTTGTTTGATCCTCTCCAGGCCAATGACATCCTCATCCTGCGAAGCCATGAGTCCAACGCCCCTGGGTCTGCTGGTGGCCAGGTCTTGGAGAAGCCGAGGGAGGGGGCAGGGAAGTCACGAAGGGCACTACCTTTTTCAGAGAAGAAGAAAAAAACAGAGACATTTAATAAGACGCAGAATCAGGAGAACACTTTCCCTTGTAAAAAATGTGGCAGGTAAGATGGCAGGCCCTGTCTCCATAGGGACCTAACAGGGTTGCGCGGTTGGAAGTTGGGGTGGGGCAGATGGCAGTTCTGGGGGAGAAGTAGGAGGTAGTCTGAGCTTTCGCCCTGTCTTCTGATTGGCTCAGAAGGTTTCCAGGGCAGTGATGTCGCTTGGCAGCATTTAGAAGGGGAAGGATGGCACTGAATCAAGAGCCCATCCATCCCTTAGTTGCGGGGGTGGGGGGGGGGGGGAGTTGGGGGAGGACCCACGTGGCACGGTGGTGGGGACGGAGCTCTTACTTGAGCCTCTCCTGCCCGGCTCTAGGGTGTTTTACAAGGTGAAGAGCCGCAGCGCCCACATGAAGAGCCACGCGGAGCAGGAGAAGAAGGCCGCGGCGCTGAGGCTGAAGGAGAAAGAGGCCGCGGCCGCAGCGGCGACTGCCGCCGCCGCCTCCCCGCACCCGTCGGCCCTGCGGGAGGAGAGCGCGGGCGAGAGGGGCTGAGGTCCCGGGCTCGGGGAGCCAGGGCGGCCCTCCTCCGGCCCGGCCCTCCCCGCACCAGCCTGCCAAAGCGTCTGCGAGCACCCCACGACCTCCAGAGGGAGAGAGGAGAGATCGCGTGGACTTGTCTCTGCAAAACAAATAAGACAATAAAATAAACGGCTCGTTTATTTATAAAGGCCCCGGGAGCAGTGTTAAGGGCTGCAGGATCCAGTTCTCTTTGCATTCAGTCTGTCGGAAGTTGTCCTCATGCTTTCCCGAAACTGTGAGAGTCCCTGCTCACGGGGGCTGCCCCTCCGGAGGGGCTCCAGCCGCTGCCACCGCTGGACCTGTGCTGCCGCGCAATCTCTTCATTTCCTCTTTGTTCCTCCTGCTCCCCTTGGTCACCATGGAGAGCCAAGCACAAGCTCACCCCCCCCCCCCCCCGCCTCCCCCCGCCCCCCCCTCGCTTGCAGCATTAGTCCCCCTCCCCAGAGGACCTGAAAGGCTACACAGGCCCTGCCCCAAGCCCCGGAAAAAGAGACTCCCTTGGAGGGACTTGGGTGGCCATCTCTGAGGGGGAGCTTAGCCTGGCACTGAGCTGTCCCCTGCGTGATAATGTGCAGGCCTAAGCTGCTCCAGTGACCCTGTCCTCAGAGAGCCCACCTCCTCCCTGGGAGGGAGGCTGTGAGAATGCCCGGAGGGAGAAAGGCTGAGGACAGCTGCCTGTCCCTTTGCTGCTTGCTAGCAGCCTGCTGGGGCTAGAAAGTTTTCTCAGATGTTAGGGGAAGAGGCCAGTGTTCCCCTCCAAGCTCTCAGCCTGCCAGAGGGAAGGGACCGATGCAGAGGACCAGGCTGCAGGGCTAGGCGTGAGGGAGCTTTTGATAAGCCTTGGCTCTTCCTGCTTCCCACCTTTTTACCAAATACCTTTGGGCCCTGGAGGCTGCTAAGGGAGCTTAGCCTAGGCCCATCCTGCTCCTCCTTGGTGCAAGTTCCCTGCCGGCCTCTGTCCTGCCCTTGGCAGCTGCAACCTAACCTCACTTCACCTGTTCTAGCGCTGACATCCACAGCCTAGCCCCCAGTCTTGCATGCTGGAGATTTCTGGATCCTTCCCTGGGAGGGGGAGGTCTCCTAACCAGATTGGACAGGAGCCTTCATTCCTTGACTTGTGTCATTTGGGAGCTATTTATTTATTCTTAATATTTAATTTTTAACATCCTCTCAGGGACCAGGGGCTTCCTGCTTTCCAGAGGCCCAAGTGCATTTATCCCAAAACAAGGCACCTTCTTGGCATCCGCCCCATCCCCCGATTCCCCAGACCCTAAGGTCCCTCGCCTCACTGCTCTGGAAACTTGCCAATAGGAATGACAGTAGCACTGAAAGGTGGAAGGTGTCACCAAAGCCACACAGAGATGGGCAGGAACAAGGGAGAGCAAAGGCAGTTCTTGTTGCTACCTTTTCTCTGGCTGTACTTTCAAATTGCCTGAGAGGATTGGCTGGAAGCCAGGATTCTGGTTTTGTTTCTGTCTTGAAGAAGCCATGTTTGGTGTGGAGTCACTGAAGTGAAAGGGCTGAAAGGGTCTAGAGGCCTCTTCACTTGCCAGTCCCATAGGAGGGCTATTTTTTTTTGGGTCTGTTGTGTAAAAGAAGTTCTAAGTGAATGCAAGTCTATGACAGGTCAACATGTTAGGAAGGAGCCAAAAAGTATTCCTTCCGCTCCCTATGAGATAGCCTGAAGGCATCATGGCGGGAGCTGGGAGCGGGGAGGGAGTTTTGTTTCTAAACTATGCACTATCAGGTATCTTTCAGCATTCATTTATGCATTAATATGGTTCTATAGGACTCCAGCTATGGGAATAACAATATTCTCCCCCCAGACTCCTGGATCTCCAACTTCCCAGTTAGTTTCCTCCATAGGCTTCTACAAGTTCAATGTCCCAAAATTGCAAAAATCTGATACGCCCTCCAGAAACAGGAGGGTAGCAAATTTAGGCTCTCTTCTAAATCACTTGTGTAATACGAGTGCCTTCACAGCTTCTCCCCAAAGTGCTACTTATGTTTCCCAAGGTTTTTTCTGTTTAAACCGTATTTAGTTCCAGGCCCCTTTATGGACATGTGGGAACAGAAACCTCCTTCGTCCAGAGTGACTCTCCTCTTCTAAGCTCACGGAGACCAGACCAGGTGAATGTAGGTGGAGAAAATCAAGATGGTACCTCTCTGTATTAATCCCACAAGACACCGCATTTTAGAAGGGTTCATGCTCCAGGATGGATTTATATCTAGAATGCAACGTGAAAGTTAAAATGCTTAGAGGGCAGATGCAATTGTGGCAAGTGCCCTGCCAATAAAGTAGGTGCAGCCGTAGAAGCTGGCAGAGGTATATCTTTTATGGTGCTTTCTCCCTGTGAACACATTGGGCTCATCTTTCGTTTTTTCATTTTCTTTTTTATTCTATTCAGAGCTCTTTGCGTTAAGAAGTTAAATGACAAACAGCTCCGGCTTTATAATATCCTCCCCACGTCATCTCACATATCCATCTCCCAGCCTCCATTACACTCAGCTAAGGGCATGAAACTAACCTAGTGCCTGTGTTCCAGACCATTTCTGAGGTCTCTTGCCCACCCAAGGAGACAGGGCTTCAGCACTGTCCTCCATGCCTTCAGCAGCCCCCCTCACAGCTAAGGTACACCCACCCCTTCTGCCACCCCACCTCCACCCCTGGCACAGAGGTCGTGCGCTGCTTATGTCTAAAGGGATCCCCTATATTTAACTGCCTCAGTGACCTAACCTCTTTCTTATGTGCCAGATGTTAAGATGAAGGAGGAATACAATACATGCTCAAGCCTCAGTGTTTAAATGTTTCCACTGGGACTCACTTTTCTCAGATGGTATTTATTACCAGACTGGCGAGCCTAACTCCTTAGGTTTACAGCAAGTATGCATATTTTTATAAAACAATTGTATGTCCTCCCCATATTTTGCTGTGTTAATATTTGCCTCTAACTAACAATTTGCAGCTGTTTCTCCTTTTCCTCATTTCTCTCTAAGTTGAGGGCCTTGTTGGAGGGGACAGAGCACAGGAACAGCCTTGACAGTCTGTAATTATTGTACAAATATTTTAATAGCATATAAATAAGTATATTCCTTTTATTTTGAAAAAAAATCAGACACTGCCTTTTGTGTGTTTGTTGCCTGTGGCACCCTTTTTTAAAGACTGTTACATATTAAAATAGTGTACATATATATAAATATTACCTCTTTTGCTGTACAGTTGTGATAGACCAGACTGAAGATTTTATTTTTTGTGTGCTTTTTATAAAAAAATTAATACACTAAAGAAAATCTTGCTGATGTGATTGTAATGTACCTATGTAACTTATTTACTTTTGAATGTTCTTCTGTATCTTTAAGCCTTTTATTAAATAAGGTTTTAAAAATTCAGAGTTGAGTGCTGTGTTCTTTGGGGAGATTTTCACCATCTGGGGTTGACCGAGGTAGGCCTTGTTTTGCTTGCAGGGGATTACTCAACATTTTTGAACTGTAAGGGTTCTGTTTTATCAGTCCATTGTCAATGATGCTAGGACAGAGGAAACAGCAAACTAGCATTTGCCTGGCAACAAAGATTACTGAATAGATCTTTTTACAAAATTTTGGACAAGAAAAAGTCTCCACTCAGTGTTTCACACAAAAACATGTAAATGGCACACTTCCATCGTTTTTGTTTCATTGGGATGAAATATGGAGGGTGCAGAATGCGATCAGGTGGCCCAGGGAAGCCGCGCTGTTGAAGAGGGTAGTTTCATATGCGGCATTGGCTGGTTGAATGAGCGACAGGAATAGACAAGACTGCCTTGACGGACGCATTTTCAACAATATCATCTTAATCCACTGCAGAATTATATTATTGTCTTTTAAACATGGTGTTTTGTTAAAAGAAAAAACAAAAACTCTGGAAAATGAAATGCGCCGTCAAACAAACCAGTGCCCACAGCCCCCGGCTGGCACCATGGCAACCGCTTGACCCCCGCGGGCCGCCGGAGCGCGCGGAGCTCGCGTCGTCTGGGCCACCGTTGCCATGGCTACGCTCCCGCAGGCCGGGTCGCGGAGGCGGGGCGGATGCCGCTCACCCGGCTGGCCCCGCCCCCACTGCGGCAGTACCGCCTCGGCTGGCAGCGGGTCCGAGAAGCCCGCAGCCGAGCCCCGCCAGCCCGCCGCGGCCCGCGCGCACGGCCGCCCGTGCCCGCCCTCGCCTCGCTTCCACGTCCTTCTCGCGCCTCCGCCTGTGTCCTCAGTCCTCGGTGTCCCAGAGAGGTGCCTGCACCCGGGAAGAAGCCTCGCGCGGGCTGGCCCCGCCGCCACCGCTGCACATCAGGGCAGTTCTCCCTGCGGGGGCGCCACGGTCCTCGCCTGCGAAGCAGCCGCTCCGCGCCCGCCTGGAGGCCCGGCTCCGACCGCGAACGCCCCATCGACTCCGGGAGCAGCAGCGAGCGCGGCCCCGGCTGCGGAGAGGAGGCGGCCACGCCCCGCGACCGCGCCCGGCGCCTCCTGCCTTCGCCGGCCACCCGCGCTCCTCGCCTTCGCCTCGGCGACGCGACGGCCTGCCCGCGCGGCAGAGGACCCCGGCCGCAGACGCAAGATGGCGGCGGCTGAGTGACTGACGGACAGAGCATCCCCGAGGCTTCGCTCCGAGAACTCGCCGACGGACTGACTTTGGGGGACGGCGAGAGGACGAGACCAGGACTCCGGGGTCGTTTGTGGTGATTGCTTAAAGCTTGCCTCCCGCGGGCATACTGGGGGAGAGTGTCTGCTGTCGTCCTCAGTCCTTGAGCAGGAGAGCCATAGGCGAATTCGTTTTTGTAAAATTGGGGTCCTTGATAGTTGGGAAAATGGCGATGACACTGTTGGAAGACTGGTGCAGGGGCATGGATGTGAACTCCCAGAGAGCGCTGCTGGTCTGGGGGATCCCAGTGAACTGTGATGAGGCTGAAATCGAAGAGACCCTCCAGGCTGCGATGCCCCAGGTGCCCTATCGAGTGCTTGGGAGAATGTTCTGGAGGGAAGAGAATGCGAAGGCAGCCTTGTTAGAGCTCACTGGCGCTATCGATTACGCCGCGATCCCCAGGGAGATGCCGGGTAAGGGGGGCGTCTGGAAAGTGGTCTTTAAGCCCCCGACTTCCGATGCTGAATTTTTAGAAAGGTTACACCTCTTCCTAGCGAGAGAGGGGTGGACCGTGCAAGATGTTGCCCGTGTCCTAGGGTTTCAGAACCCCGCCCCGGCCCCAGGCCCAGATATGCCAGCAGAGATGTTAAATTATATTTTGGATAATGTTATTCAGCCTCTTGTTGAGTCCATATGGTACAAGAAGCTGACGCTGTTCTCAGGGAGGGACATCCCGGGGCCTGGGGAGGAGACCTTTGATCCCTGGCTGGAGCACACTAATGAGGTCATAGAGGAGTGGCAGGTGTCCGATTTAGAAAAGAGGCGGCGGTTGATGGAGAGTCTTAGAGGCCCCGCCGCTGATGTCATCCGCATCCTCAAGACTAACAACCCTGCGATAACCACCGCTGAATGCCTGAAGGCGCTGGAGCAGGTGTTTGGGAGCGTCGAGAGCTCTAGGGACGCGCAGGTCAGATTTCTGAACACTTACCAGAACCCGGGAGAAAAGTTATCTGCTTATGTCATTCGTCTGGAGCCTCTGCTGCAGAAGGTGGTGGAGAAGGGGGCCATAGATAAAGATAACGTGAACCAGGCCCGTCTGGAGCAGGTCATTGCCGGGGCCAACCACAGCGGGGCCATCCGAAGGCAGCTGTGGCTGACCGGGGCTGCGGAAGGGCCGGCCCCTAACCTCTTTCAGTTGCTGGTGCAGATCCGCGAGGAGGAGGCCAAGGAGGAGGAGGAGGAGGCCGAGGCCGCCCTCCTGCAGTTAGGCCTGGAGGGCCACTTCTGAGTCCCAGGGAACGGGGCGTCCGTGCAGACCTAGATCACAGCTGCTTTCCTTGTCTCTGTGCTGTCTTATAGGGGTGTCTCTTAGTAAAGACTAAGGCGTGTTCTGTTTTCTGGGGAGAAGTCAGGCCTTCATATTTATGTAACAGTGGTAAAATTGTGCGCGTGAACACCCTGAGCTGCTACAAGGGAGTCATGCTAGCTATAATTCCAGGCAAAGGCTTGGACACAAGTGCTCAGTGCAAGCTGTCAAAGTAGCATCATCATCAGTTGTGAAAAACATGTGAACTTGTGACACTTCCTATCAAGTTTAATTAAATGTGAAATTGCATGTTCAGACGTTTAGCGTAGGGCCTGACTAACGCAAGAAGTGTTCAGTAAAAATGTGAACTGTTGTTTGTTACTAATATCGTGAATAGTTTTTGTGTTCACTGTAAATTGTACCTGATTTATGTTAATGGAAAGAAATGTGAATTAGATATTATTCAACTTTATAGTGCAAATTTCTTATTTTTCATCTTTAAACATCTGGATCAGTTTAATTCAAAAGTATTCTGAGACTATGAAATGGGGTGTTAGAAAAATACTGTAATTATAGGGCTGTGTAAATCAGAATTTTTCACTGTTCAAGATACAGGTATAAATCGCATGGGGAGGTTAATGTGAACCAGTTACAGTATCCGTTCCCCCATTTCAAATCTTTGTCACTGAATAGTTCTCCTTGTTCATACTGATTCCAAGTGTTCTAAATTTGAAGTTATCAAATACATGTATATGAATAAAAATATTTTAAAAATTCTATTGTCTTCTCATTTTTCTGACACGTATAAAAAATTTCAGTGTAATTAAGATCTGTATTCTGTTTTCTTAGGAAGACTTCCCCTGTTACTAAAAAAATCAGACCTCAATTATTTTATCTTTAAGCTTTATATCATACTATGAAAGTTTCAATTGCAATACCTTTTAATGTGTTCAATTGTGTGTGTTCTACCAGGCAAATGTTAGAAGGCTAAATAAACATAAGTGAATATTAACTTACTCTAACATGTTAGAAAATCCTGAAATGGGGTTTAGGAGGTTATATAGTTATGCTTTTTCTCCCCTTTAGGTCCCTTTTCAGCTGAAAATGTTTGTTTACATGCAGGAATAATACTCATTATCTGTGAAATGAGTGTTTCAGTTTTACAGCAGCCCTTTCATATCAAGAGGATATAAAAAGGGAAATGCGGCTTAAAAACGTTTATTTGGCTGCAGAGATTTAGTGACTGAAGATGTCCCTCTCGAGACTCCAGTAAATCCAGAAGTGATCACATGAACATGAGTTCAGTGGGGTTCCCCCAGTAACAAGGCTTTAAAATTATAGCTGACCTATGTAATAATCGTAAGGTAAAAAATGTATTTATAAAGGCTAATATTGATATATGTTCTAACAGATTTTTCTGTACACTCATTCATGTCCTCACGTTCCTTGGCTGTTCCTCCCTCACACTCTTCTCTCAATACACACATCTCCACATGTGTGACCCCCACAACAGATATGCAAATCCTCACTTTCCCCCATAAACATGTCCCCATTCCCCCTCCATTCCCAGTGGCATTGTGCTGGGTACACACACACTCCCCTCACGTCTCACAATCCTGTCTTCACACATTCACTCCCAGCTTACCCACAGCACTCCCTCATAAATGTACTCCCTCCTCTCTCCACACACACACTGCCACAGTCTCCTGCCCCTACCATACATTTTTATTTCTCCACACACATACATACATGCTCCCACTGGTGCCACACTCCAACCAGCCACACGTATATGTACACACTCCCACTCCACACACATACATATTACATTCATAACAAAAATAGCGGGTTCTTCATTTTGTCACCCAATATGTTATGGGCATCCTTCTATGTCTGTACATAGGGATATACATTCTTCTTATAGCTGCGGAGTTGATTGCATTTTAGGAGGAAGTGGCATCACTTACGATTCTTTCATTATATATAACAATTGTATATATCTACATATACATACATATATATTTAATACAGTACGTATATATGGTATAAAACAATGTCACGATTCTAGATGTCCATTCCTTGATCTAGAAAACAATGAACTAAAAAGAATAATGAGCTATTTATAAACTGAATCAAGGTTTTCTCTTTATAGGCTCAGTAATTAAAATCTGCGTTTTAAAGGACAGACGCAAGAAACATATCTTCATAACCAAAGAACTGTGGAATAGAGAAGTAGAAACCACTAAATTTCCTTTCTGTGACGAAAGTTACATTTGGCTGATAGCACAGAATAAGTGCTGGGAAAATGTGTAATTTTACTGCTGTTGCCCGGTTCTTCCTGTTTCTTGTGTATCATAAAGGGGCTCGCCAACGTCAGGTTATTCCAGACCACAAATCAAGGACCTAGCAGCCAACCTTAATCCTGTACTCTTCCGGAAGTAAGGAGAGGATGAGGAATGGCCAAGTGCAGTAGTAACTTGCTGTCCCTGGAAGCGCTCTTTCCAGGATCCTAATCATTTGAAACGGTGCCCAGAGAGCTTCTAGGAAAGACTGACAAACCCAAGAGACGAGATTACCAATGGTAGTGAACATCTGAAAAACAAATTTAGCATAAAGCAATGAGTCACTCTCTCTCACACACACAACCTGTGTGGAATATGTCATTCAAAGACAGAATTTCTTTAGAACTGGGAATATCATTGGAAGTTCACATAGTTGCTCTGTTAGCTAAAACTAATGGTCATGTAATGAAAAGAGAGACAAACTAATTTTTTTATAAAATAACAATTTATTACTATTTTAAAACAAGTCTCACAAAATAACATTCAGAAACAACATTTCTAAATAATTTAACACAATAAGTTTAGTCATAAAGTCATGCTACAAAATTCCTGCATATAAAAGATTATTACCAAAGTATTAATAGATGTTAAAATGTTCTTCAGAATGGAGTTGGTTCTAGAAGCCAAAGATTCTGGAATGATGCTCGTGATCATGACTGACAGCCAGGGAGAAGGAGCTGCTATCTGTATGTTCTCCACAGCTACCAACTCACCAGTCTTTTGATGGGATCGATCCCTCTAGGCAATAGCACCTCAGAGGCAGGTACCCTGCTGACCAAAGAAGCAAAGAACGTCCCACCCTCATAACATTAGCCACAACTTAATTTAGCCAACATCAATTAATTTTAAAAATCTAGACATGGGAAAGATAACTCACAAAGTTTCTATTCCGAGTAGAATTCTATTTGACACGTCCCCCAGAGGCATGCCTGTCTATACAGCAGACATGGAAGATGACACCAAGTAGAGAAATAGGGAAATCCTGACTCTGATGATGTCAACAGACAACTACCGCTCAGGAGGGCTTAGAACGAGCAAGGATGAGGTTTGGTTCTCTAACATCCACACGCAGGCTAGGTGTTTACCCAACTTCCCTTTGGGAGTACTTTCCACCAACATCCAGTTCATAATTTTAAAGTGCAAATCTACTGAAAAAATAGTTTACTCTCCCCCACCCCTTGTTAAATTTGCTAGATCATAATTTGGTTGGCTGGTTCTCCTCTAACCCACGCGATATGGGAAATGAACTAGAATCCAGTTATGACTTCTGCAAGTGTCAGGTGAAAATTTATCTTAGGTCAGAAAAAGGTAAGAGTCTAGTTTTTCCTTTCAGTTTTCTTCCTTTGCAGTCACTGGTTTATAAAAAGACAGGAATAGAGACATAGATGAGGGGTTTCTAAAAGTTTAGTGATTTCTTTTTAAAACATCCTTAATTTTTTTTAATTGCACCTATTTTATGGTTTAAGCAAAAAGCCTCATGCTAGAGTGAAGACAAAGGAATATGGTCAAGTTAGCTTTGTCAGAAGCACCAACTCTGCTATACTGAATCTTGGTTTATATTTAATTATTTACAGACACACTAAGCAGCCCAAATAAAGAAAATAGGTGCCAAAGGAATTAATTTCTGATGAAGGATAACTTTCAGGTCAGCAGTTAGTCTTCTCCCCTTACCAATACTCATGATGTAAGGTCTTTGTGAAAGGACAGTCAGACTGCAGTGAGAGACACTAACTACTCATGATAGATACTTTGACATTTCCTCCTAATTTTTTTAAGTTAATGGTTAAATCCAACCTTCCTAGGCCCTACACTTTTTCTATTTAGCCCTAAGAAAAATCCAAGTGGAAGATTCTGGGCCACAAAGATAACTACCTTCAACTCTACTTACCCGTCACCAATTCTGAGAATAAGTCAACAATTAAGAGTATCTTCTTATTTCTCCTTATTCTACTTCAGACCACCAGTGAAAGGGATCAGCAGAAGTACCTATTCAAGTCAAAATTTCTCTTTCCACCCAGGAACCACATTTAAGTGTCTTACACCACCTCTATTTGTGGAATGGATCCACTAACCATATCAAGTTATTGACCAGTTATCATGACCAGACATACTTCCGATCACATAAAAAATTGGTGTCTACACCAGCTAACTTTCATATATGATGACTAAATTTTATACAGTATTTTTTAATATTTAATGATGGCTACAGTCTGCAAATTTACATGCATTATTGGACAATGAATGAGCACTTGAAGAATGATGACCCATTTTCTAAAGTACACTCCAAACGTTAAACTTTAGAGAGAAAGAAAAATCTATCATAAAGTTAGATTCTGTTGATAGTAAGAGAGAGGTAGGTTAATAATCACTGTCCTAAGATAAACAAGAATGTTAAGAAAGAAAAGTTGAGAAAAAAATAAGTTGAACCTTCCAGCCCTGAGATTCTAATGTTATGTGGAAACTGTTAAAATGAGCACTACAAAAAAGGGAAACATTAGTGACCATCTCCTTCCATCCATGATTATTAAATACATCCCCTTCTCTCACACAACGACTCAGGTAGCACATGGCTACAGAGTGGAGGCAAATGGACCTGGACAAAGGAATGCTGGTTTAGAGCACTGGCTTGGCTCTCAACCACAG